CCTATCAGTCAGTTATCAGACTCTTTTATGAACAGTTTTCCCAAATATTTACTTTTACTACCTTCTATCAGTCACATAGTCTCTGCCACACGGCACCTGTCCTTTCAGTAGAAATTCCTTACAAAGGTGTTTTGTTTTTGTTTTTTGATTTTGTTTTTGAAGTACTGGGGATTGAACCCAGGACCTTGAGCTTGCCAGGTAAATGCTTATTCTACAAGCTATCTCCCCTGCTCTGTGTTCCCTAATCATTTAAGTTTCCATTTTCCCACCTTCTCTAAAACACTGATTCAGCAACTTTTTTGATTATTTGGTTGGTTGGTTGGTTGGTGGGTTTTTTGTTTTGGTTTGTTTTGTTTTTTGAGGTACTGGGGATTGAACACAGGACCTTGCGTTTGCCTGGTTAAGCACTTATTCTACTGAGCTATCTCCCCACCTAAAACACTGATTCAAAGCTAGCTGAATGAGTCTCTCAAATTGCAAGTAACAAAACCCCAAGTAAAACCCTTCTACTTTTGGAGTTTCTGGGGTATTTTTTGTTATTGTTCTTGCTGTGTATTTGTTTTTTTGTTTGTTGGTTGGTTGGTTGGTTGGTTGGTTGGTTTTGGGGTATTTTTTGCAGTACTGGGGATTGAACTCAGGACCTTGTGCTTACTTCTCCTACAGAGCTATCTCCCTGGCCTCTTATTGTGTACTTGGTTTTGGTTTTTTTCATGGAGGGAGTTTTCTAGGAATTGAACCCAGTACCTGTTTTACCACTAGGCTATGCCCTCAGGCTCGTTTCTGAATTCGAATTGTTCACAAACTGCAGTACTTAAACCACGAAATAGATTAAGTACATAACTGCAAAACAACTGAGAGAACCAGGCATGGTGGTGTGCCCCTGTGAGCCAGCACTAAGAGGCTGAGGCAAGAGGATAGATCTCAAGGCCAGCCTAACTACACAGTGAGAGCCCGTCTCAAAGAAACAGCTAACAGGAGTGGGTATGTCTCTTCCGTGACAGAACACCACTTCCGTAGCCTGTACAAGGCCCTGGGTTGAATCCCCAGCACTGCATTTTAAAATTTTCAATAAATAAAAACAAAATGTCTGAGGTATTTAATTAGCCAAAATGGGATTATTATTCAAGGGCCCAAGTGATAGTCAAAGTGTTGGACTTTTTAAGTTTTGTTTTGGGCTTTTTTTTTGTTACATTCTTTCTTGTTTTAATGTTACTTATTAATGGAATAAATTGTATGTTAAACGTAAAAGCTTAAGTGAAAACTAGGGTTCTGACTTTTATAAATTAAATACTTATTTTTGTTTCGCCCAAAATAAACCATTTGTGGAATACAAAAAAAAAAAAATCTCAAGGCACTAAATCAACCTATTCTTTAAAAACCATAAGTTTCCATGGAACATTCAGAAAAAAAGAAAGAGCGATGTGGATCAGCTCTCACTAAATATAGGTTCTTTTAGGAACTGAAAAGGCTGATGGACTTGGGAAATCATTCAAGGACTAAAAGGCCCCTTGATTCCCTTCATTCCTTGGAACAAACCTGCTGGCCCTGTTCAGGGCAGTTCTTGGCTCCTAACAACCATGAACAAAGGAACAAAGAAGAAAAGCAAGGAAGGGAAAGAACCAAGAGGGAATGCAGTATTTTCCTGAAGGGGCAGCTCCAGAGCCTAACAAGGAACCTTTATATGTGGGAGAGGCACCAGGCAAATCGACGGGGCACTGGAAGACAGAGGCAGAGGAGAAACATGGCTATGCATGGTCCCCAGAGAACAATGAAAAACAAGAGGAGGAAGGAAAAGATATTTGGTTAAACCCGCACTATACAATACAGCAGTCATGGGCTGCTTGCAGCTAGTCCAAATTGAGATGTAAGTGGAAAACAGACTCCAGATTTCAGAGATAAGATTGATAAAAAGAATGCACAGTATCTTGTTACTAAATTTTTACTGATTATTATACATCATAATTATAATATGCTGTATGTACTGAATTAAACAAAATATGTAATCAAAATGAATTCATCCTTTTTTTTTTTTTTTTTTTTTTTGCTTCCTTTAAGTGGCTACTGGAAAATTACAGCCATGGTTCCCACTAGTAGCTTGTACTTCTATTGAACAATGCTGGTTAGAGTGCCCATACAACCATCAGATGGGGCAGCACCCCAGGACAGAGGAACCTCTGTTTAAAATGGGCCCAGGGTGGGTGAGTTATGGGGGTGGAGACAACAGAGGGAAAAAGGTCAGATAAGAGTACAGACAAGGAGGCAGTGTTGGCGGTCAATTTTCGGGGTGAGAACGATAAGGAGGCAGCCAAGGGACAGACAATGCGCATGCCCACAATATAACAGGAAAGGCCTTGCCCCCATTTCTTGATTCAGAATATGTGGATCCACACCCAGATCAAAGCAAAGACGAAAATATTTAGAAACTCACTCAACACTACTCATCTCCATATCCCTTTTAATAACTAGAGACTGAAGAGGAAAAATAACTGAGAAAGGACCATAACGCCTTCCTCAAAAACCTTGTATTTTCAACTACAAACACCTGAATGTGCATAGCTGCCATGGTATACATAGTACTTGCGAGTGCACAGTATGGATGATCATGGCGAAAGGTCTTTTCATCATGTGTTGCTATGAAGTGATGGTTCTCACTCCAGGGAGATTCAATTGAGCATACTAAGGAATGGGGAGATAGTTGTAGTTGTCACATCTAAGAGGAGGAAGTGCTACTGGCATCTAATACATTGAAACTAGAGATGCACAAAATATCCTTCAGTACATAGGTCAGTGCCCTACAACAAAGAATTACAAAGCCCAGTGCCAAGGTTCAAGAGTCACAGTAATGCCATTTGTCTCCACCCATATCATATATGTGAGGATGAGGGGGAGGTGAGGGTAATTACTGACCTTCATTGGGCAGGTGCGGCGTGCTGAGTGTTCCTATAATCAGAAAACAGATTGCTACCCAGACATAGTGTTGCACAGAGGCTGACACAGGAGGACTGCTGCAGGTTCAAGGCCTGCCTCCGCTAAAGTGAGCTCAAGGCCAGCCTGAACTTGCAAGACCCTGGCTTTAAAAAAAAAAAAAAAGGGCCGGCCAGCAGACTAAAGTGCCTGCTTAGGCAGGAACAGGGACTGGGGTTCAATCCCCATGATGCTATGGGGGCCCCAGACCCAGGGCACACCGAGATGCTGATTGAGACTGGGCGTAGCAGCACACTCCTGTAATCCCAGCACTTGGATGGCTAAGAACAAGAGGATCACTGTGAGTCCAATCTGTGTAGTGAGACCCTGTAGACCCTGTACTAAATACATAAAAAAAGAAGTGTCCCTGGGCTGGAGATGGAGCTGCAGTAGAACACTTAATTAGTTCAATTCTCAGATGCCCAGCACTACAAAAAAGTGACCGCATTTCAAGAGAAAAAGACACTGCCCAGACACTATAATCCCAGCCCTGTTGACCAACCCCACAGGCTCAGAGCCAACTGTGACTCCATTTCATAGTCTACCAAGTGAAATAATGATTCCAAAATGCCCTGCTGCCCCAACCAAACCAACTTCAAAAAGCTCCATGAACACACAAAGTGCTCTTGACATCTTTAATCTTCTGAAATGCTTCTCTGAACAAGCAGGATTCTGAACCTTAACAGAAATGAGTTCAGATATATGGCAGGAGCTTATGAAGAACCAAGACCCTGGGGATGGGACTTGACTCAGAAAATCAAGGTTGTGGCTGGAAAAGGCCTAAGAGGTAAGGCATTTAAATTCAGAAAACAGGTCAGAGGTTATACAGAAGGCTGCCTCATATTAATTCCCACTGCCAACTGGCTGAAAGTAAAACTGCCCTTTTCAGGAAATTAATGGAATCCAGTTGAGGACTGACTGACCCTTTGTGAACCCACCCACATCTCCCAAAAGGGACCACCATTCTGAAATTCTGCTCCTGGACTGAGAAGCTGACACAAGCCACTATTTGTAGTGGTATATAACTATCGACTTGATTAACTTTTTTAAAAAGTGTAATAGATTTATCTCTCGGTGTCTTTCTAGCTGTTCTTTGATCCCATGTGTATCAAATTTGGGGGCCGGGAGACTTTTACTGATCAGGTATTTGAGTTTCTTGAACCACAGTAGAGTCTTTGGAATAAGAAGTGCCGGTAGGCCAGCTTCTGCATGATTTCTGCAGTAAAACACAGACTCTGTTCTGAAAAACAAACTTGATTCCTGAACCCGAGGGCACAGGGCAGACGTGAGGTGCAGTGAGCGACAAGAGATTTGAAGGCCTGTGGCTCCTCCAAGCTCGGGGTGCAGAAAGTGGAGAGCAGAAAGCAGGCGCCGGGACGCCCTGAGGCCCACGAGTGGGGAGACACTGCCAGCAGATTAGGCAGAGCTGCAGGCAGAGAGAGGGCGGGGAATAGGTGCAGTAGGAGGTCAGACTGGCAGAAACAGGGCGATTTCCTTACAAGAGGAATCTGCTTCTGCAGGATGCCTCTGTGGAGAACGGGGTGTCCGGAGACTCCTGGAAGCGGTGGCTCCAGGGCGCTGCCTCACCTGGGGCACAGCCGCCTCGCTCTCTGCATCTGCTCGCGAGGGGCGGGCGCAGCTCGCCAGTACCACGAACCCGGACGGGTGGCTGGGGGCGGCCTCCAGCAAGGCTGCCTTCACGGACGTAGTGCCTAGGTCGATTCCAAGAGTGACGGACTGTGCAGCCATACGAGCGGCAACTAGCGCAGCTCTCAGATCGCCACCCGCAGCACGCGCTGCAGCCCGCTTCACCTGGGAGGGAGGGAGGCACCTGGACTCCGTTTCGCCTGCCACACTTTTAGCCACACTCAGCATGGCGGCACCTCGCCTTCCCATTGGCTGAGGACTTCTACGCAACCCCCGCGGTGGGCCTCAGGGATAGGTAAAGAGGCGGAAGAAGGCGGGACCTAGAGGACCCGCCCCTTAGCACGGAAGTTACGGGACTGTGGGGCTGTGTCTGAGTCTCGCTGGTCAAAGGATCGAACGATTCTCCTAGAAGCCAAGAAACCCTTTGTGCCCCTCGGAAACGTTTGATTTTCCTTCACGCTGGAGTTCCTATGTCTGTCAAGTGCCTGGGCCTCTTGCCCTCCCTGCACCACTATCCGACTCAGTCAAGACTCGTAAAAACTACAACTGCCAGGGCACCTCGCGTAGAGGTCGGGCCTCCACGAGTCAGGTGACTCGAGTCAGGTGACAGCTGGCCCGCCTTCACACAAAGTCAGCCCAGCCCGGGGAATTCAGGTACTCTGAAACGGAATCTGGCGCGAGATTGCTGCATCTTGTGAGGTCGTCCCCGGATCCTGGGAAGATCTCAGGTGAGAACCAGCAGGACCCGGACAGCCTCTCCACGTTTCCCGGGTGGATCTCTGAGGCCCAGACACTGGCCTGGCACATCGGCGGGGCAACCTGCCACGCCTCCAGGTCCCCCCATGCCCCAGCCGCATTTGGGTTCCAGCACCTACCACTGATATGAAAGGCCTGGAAGAGGGTGAGCGAAGGCAGGGACACCGGGTTGTCAGGGTGGTGTGGGCGGCTGTATTCCAGTGTAGTTCGAGTCCCTTCCCGCCTCCTGCTCAGTTGCCGCCTGAATCTGGACTGGCAAGCACGCAGATTGTTTGAGAGAGGCTATTCTCTGAGTGGACCATTCCTGCAGAAACTATTGGCTTGTCCAAGCCTAGACTCCGAGACACTAAGCAAGGCTAGAGTCCCACCTTGCCCTCTGGAGTTCTCAGCTTGGAGAAAAGGAGAACACCTGGATCCCCTACTACCCTCTCAGTAAGATTGACAAAAATTAACTGCTTTGTAAGAGCTTGCCAAGTGCCTTTTGCACCGCTAGTAATCAGATTACAGCAGACATATAGTATTTCTTCAACGTTTTTATCCTTATCAACCCACCTCCTCTTGAGATTCTAATGCAGGTGATAAACTGTATTTGCTTGTGTGTTTTGGCCCTTATTGCTCATGTATAATAGTTTGAGAGCTACAGACCTTTGTAATATTTTAAGTTTTTCTTCACTTCTCTAAAAAAACAAGTTTAGCCCTTTTGAAAATGCATGTTTTACATTTCATCTCACTTATGGGGTAGTTACTGCCATCCCTGTTTCCCCATAAAAAAATTGAATTTTTTTTTTTTTTTTTTTTTTTTGTACCGGGAATTGAACTCATGACCTTGCGTCTGCCAGGCAGGTGCTTATGCTGCCTGAGCTTATCTCCCCAGCCCTGAAGTTACATTTAAAAAGCAACACGGGGGTCCCAGGCTTGAACCTGCATATTCTATCGCATATTCTGTCTGCAGAACACACAATCCTTTCTACATCTGTTAGTTCTCCGAGGAAGTTCCTGGTGGTGGGACAGAGGACAGGACTAACACAGATACATGGCAGAGGGGAGCTGTCACAAGAGACATCTCACTCAATTCATCCCAGAAGGGAACCATGGGAATGGGAGAAGCTCTTGAAACTGTTGTCTGAATGAGGCCTAGAAGATAGAGCTTACATTGGGAAGAAGGCCAAGCCAGGGGCTGGTGAGATGGCTCAGTGGTCTAAAGCACCTACCTAGAACAAGCTAAGCAAAGCACGGGGACCACGGTTCAATCCCCCAGCACCACATGCCAGCCAGCCCCACCCCCTGGTGGGCTGAGCTGGACACACACACACACACACACACACACACATAAATAAATAAATAAAATTTAAAAAAAAAAAAAAAAAAAGAAGGCCAAGCCGGACAGAGCTCACTGTCTGAAATACTGCTTTGATAGTGTAGGTTTCATTGACCCCTAGTTGTATATGGTCATCAGTCTCCTGTTTTGAAGAGTTTTACTCAACTTGTCTGTAAGCATCTATCTTTCCTAGGGTTTTTCTTTCAGGGTATCTCAGCCTGTGAAGGAGACTTTTGCTGAAGTAGCTGAAGAGGGAACAATTCAAGTTAGTGTTCACTTCCTCAGAGTGGCTTTACATAACCAACAGCTCTCTGAGCCAGTTTCCCCATATATCAAAAAAAGATAAGGCCTCTCTGGGTCCCCAGACAGAGCTCTAAGGACGTGGTGAAAAACCTGTGCAATCAGAAATGTGAAGTGAAAGTTCTTTGTGAGCTGTCCAGTTGCCATGGTTCCAGATGGCACATTGTCCACCTGGGGCTGAGCTGATTCAACCTTAACATGAAGTTCTCTTGCTGTTTGTTTTCCTCCTAGTTCTGAGAAATCAGGGAACATGATAAAGAATTGGCTGCTTATTTTTATCCTTTTTCCTCTGAAGCTCATAGAGAACTGTGGTAAGTTGTAAAATGGATCATCAACTCTGTAAAAAAGATATGGTGGCTGTTAGAATAAAAAACCCAAGTTTAGTTCAGTCCAGGCCACATGTCTGCTTGCTCCTCTGCCAGGGGTGGTAGGCCAGACCCAAGTTGGGGTTCCAGGAGCTTTAGATAGAGCTAATGATTCCACAAATAATTGGGGTCTTCTCTGCCCATGGGTCTCTATTACTTTTCCTATATCATCAAAGTCAACAGTTGATTCTTATTATCAGACTGTTTATCTTGTTCTCCAAGTCAAACTTTGGAGCAACAGCAAGCCAAGATAATATCTGTGAAGAACGGCTTATGTGTCTGCTCTGTAGACATCACCCAACGAGCTGTGGCTCTTAGGAAACACTGGGGAGGTGGATGAGGTGGCCACCTTGTGGTACCTGGTTCTGCGGAGGAGTCACCTGGCATCACCTTGTAAGAGAAGAAAACCTACCTTAAAGGAAGCCAGAGGGTGCCACACCTCAGCAGGACTCGTACCAGGGCACACAGAGCACAGCGTTTGCATATCCTTGTAGGAGGTCCCTTTCAAATCCTGTTTGTCCTTCCAGCAAGTCTCCCACTACCCAAAATATTTCTGGAATTTCTTCTATTGAAGAGCTTTCTGTTCAGCACTCCAGGGGTGCCAGACCCATTACAGCATTTTGATCATTAGCTTAACTATATGTGTTTAAAAAAGAAAAAAAATTCTTAAAATCTCTGACTAAAGAGCTCAAAGGAACCTGGTACAAACAATACAAATCCTGCACACATTCCTCAAGAGTCATGCACAGTGTGCTCTCCGCTGCCTTATACCGTTTTGATGATCTGGCCTCTTGAATCATTAAGAGAACAGCAGCCATCTGATTAGCTCTTCCAGATTTGTTAATTAGCAGTCATAGTACTTTGTAGTCACAGCTGTGGACAAGCAGTTTCTGAGAGAGGAAAGTTCCTTCTGCCCGTGGGGCACAGTGTTTCTCAGTAGGGATGCCAGAGCCTCACTGTCCCCTACCTGGCCATGCTCTCTGGAAATAAGGCCTGTGTGTGTGCAAGTGAGAGTTGTGTGCACGTGCAATTGTGCACATACATGGGCAAACACATCAAGGCTTCTTAGTAATGCTAATGGCTTACCCAAAGAGTAAAAGTATCCAGCTACCACAGCTCTAGTTAATTAGAAGGGAGACTGAGGCCTGGGTAGGGTAGAAGGCTTCCCCAAATTCACAGAGCTTGAAAGTAACAAAGCTGCGATCTCCGTAGGATCTCCACTCCCTTATATGACTGTCTTTCCTCAATGCCATTAGGAAAGATTAGTCGAAGTTACCATAATGTAAGTGACTGATTTTCTAACATCATTCAGATGTGTGTGTGTTCTCTTTGCTTTGGGAGTGATGATTAAGGGTTAGCAGTGACATGACTGGCCTCCAGCGGTTTTTCTTCTCTCGTGGGGGAAATCTAAGGCAGTTATGTGTGCAAGATACCATCTCTCTTGGAAACTTCAGTTTTCTTGTATCTAAGGTAGGAATAAAAATACCCACACCGTGTTGTAAGAATTACAAAATGGGAATAACACGACAGAGTAGCAGGGCTTAGGGTGCCAAGTGGGGACAATGCCAGTGAGTATGTTTAAAAAAATAAAACGGGTGGGGGAGATAGCTCAGTAGAGTAAGCGCTTGCCTGGCAAGTACAAAAGGCCTGAGTTCAATCCCCGGTTCCACCAAAAAAATAAAAAATAAAAATAAAAGACTCCCATTAAGGGAAACTTGGGATGCTCTCATCATAACTCATTGGTAATTCTGATATAGTTTATGGAGGCTCTTACCCCAGAGCAAACTTCAAAATGTGCTTTGTCAGGATATAATGTGAACTTCTAAACTGCCACCTATCTTGGACCAGAAATGTCATGCAGTTACAAATGGATGATAAAAATAGTAACTAACAATTATTTAGCACTCAGACCATGTGGAAAGCATGCCACAAACACAATGTCATAAATCTTCACAGTGATCCGATGAGATAGGTCTTATTGCCTCCATTTTCCAGATGAAGAAATGTCAGCTCAAAGAGGATCAGTACCTCACTCAGTGGCCACAGAGCTAGGAAGTATCACAGCTGCCGTGAAACTGTGTGACTTAAGAACCCAGTGTGTCAGTGACTGTCACACTGCTGTCTCACATGGTACTGAGGAGAAAATGGCCTCTGGTCTGGCACCTGGAAAGGGCTAACCTCTCCTTTAACATACAAAGACTGTGGAGATCTAAACACCGCAGCCACCATCCTAGCAGAGCCTAGGGATCCAAAGCTCTAAGTGGCTTCCTGGCATGACTTTGTACCCTTGTCCTGAGCAGTGGCTTGCTCTGAGACATGTATAGCAGGTGTGGTTCTGGGCTCTACTAAGAGTGAGCAGGCAGGGACAGCAATTCCTATACAAAGCCTCCAGCTGATACTAGAGTGTGGGCATGAAAGACAAGGACAGAGTGGCCCAGGTGTCTACATTTAAGGGAGGACTTGGCCTACTCTGAGTAGCTTGGCCTCTGTAAGGATCAGGGTGGGGATATCCTGCTCTGAGGGACCCAGCCACTCAAGAAGGGACCAGAAACCATGGACAAAGGGAAACTCAGCCCCAGGAATTGCAATCACATGTGTCAGGCTAGGACAAAGAAGGCAGCTCATATGTGGTCGGAGAGGCTCCACATAGCTCCACTGGCCCCGACAGTACAAGTCTCTGGCTGGCTGAGGGTCCTGGAAGTGTTTAGGCAGAGGAAGAAGGGTACCTAGGAAGGAGGACTGAGAAAAGGAATCAACATTGGAAGTTGGTAGGTAAAGGAAGTTCCCTGCCAACCTGAATATGCAAAATTGCAGCTCTCAGTTCTTTGTCTTCTGTCTTTGAGGGATTTGAGCAGAGGATACCTGGACCCAGCCTAGAATCTTTACTCCTACAAAGACTATCTTCATCATCAAAGTCGAACGCCTGCTTCCCCACATGGATACTCTTTTTCCGTCCTAGTCTAGATTCATGATTGTGACCCCATAGGCTTTGCCTAACCCTGAAGAGGATGAGGCAGAGGAGATGAGAAGATGTAGCACAGGGCATTGAGTACACCTAGGTTGGGGTGAGAAGTATGGGAATGTACCCCCAAAGTACAGAAAAATCACAAAGAGGTAGCTCAATTATGTTCTGTGACCAAGGTGTTCTAGGGTATTTTACCTCCCAAGATGGTGGCCATCTCCTCCTCCCCCGACCAGCTGGAAATTGAATACAGGAAAACAGGGCCCAGTGCATGCTGTTCATGTGCTCTGCAACTGAGCTATACCCTAGCCAGGTAGCGGTAAATCCATGGCACCCATGCTGCAGCAGGCAGCTCCTTGTATCATTGAAAGCTCTAAAATGTGCACTTTAAAACTCACTGATAAGTGGGTCCAACTGGCCCTTGCCAGTCCCCTATCAACATAGTTTCCTAAGACCCACTCAACCAAACCTGCTTCTTCCTTCTACCTGGATACCTATTTAGCTACTTATTCTAAGTTAACACCTTAATGCTGAGAAGAAATCCTTGAGAATAAAGTAATGGCATTCTTCATCATTCTCCAATCCCCGCCCCCATATATCCTCAGCCTCAGGAAGGAGATCCATGAGGATCTACCCATGGGGTGAGCTGGGTCAGCAAGGGAAGCTCCGAGACTCTTTAGCAATGTGTAAGCTGTGTTCTGTGCAGCTATGAAAAGGCCAGAAGCTGTTGGACCAGTTCTCCACCATTTTGTCCCCAGGAACAGAGGTGACCCCCATGGTGTCCATCTGAAGAAGTGGTTTCAGTCCACTGTGGACAACTCTCGATGCTCACTGGAATTCCTTTGGTCATTTTGAGCCCGTGGTTCTCAAACTATCTCTAAGCAACTTGCAGGTCCTCAAGTAGAGATGAGGCAGAGCTTCACCCTCTGTATCTGTCTCTCAGATGGGGAAGAAGCATAATGAAGCCCAGGTGTCCTGTCCCCTCAGAAGCTTCAAGCCCGTCCCTCTCTTCAACTAAGAAGTAGGATTACTAGTGAGTCAGAGCTCATGAGTTAAGATATCAGGCATTTTGTGCCCCTTTCTCCTCATGGTCCTCAGCTCTCTGATCTGATGACTCACATCATTGACTTGGGTCCTTCCAGAGTCAGCTGTCAGCCTCACTGTTCCTCCTGTTGTAAAGCTGGAAAATGGAAGCTCAGTCAACGTCAGCATTACCCTTGGGTAAGTTCCCCCCATTCTGTCTTCAGCCCCACTTCGACAGACCTGACAGCAATGTCAGGACTGACCACAACTTAGTCTGTTCATATTATGAACACAATGCTTGCCTTGTAGCTGTAGGACAAACCATAGAAACAGCACTGGCTCTAACCCCCAGCTACAGAGAAGCCATTCCCTTCCCAACTCCTGCCACCTCTGCACACCCACACTTAGTCAGGCATCCAAGTCATCCTCTTGCCTCAAAAGACTCCCCTTTCCAGAACCCTTGGGTGGTTTCCTAGTATCCTCTAAATTAACTCAAACTTCTAAGGCTACACCCAAAAGGCCTTTGTTTCCTTTAGTCAGATTCTGACTTTCACACCAAGACCTGCTCAGAGTTGACCCTCTCTGGGAGAGCCTGTCCACTCCCAGCTGTCTCATTTGTCACCCATAGTCTATACACTACCTTTTCATGTCCTTACCTCCTTACCTGAACAGACATCTACTCCTAACAAGGTCAGAACATGCCTTCCACCTCTGTACCTTTCTTTATTTTTTTTTCCCCTAGAAATGGGGATTGAACTCAGGCCCTTGCTCTTACCAGGCAAGTGTTTATTCTACTGAGCTATCTCCCTGGCCCCTCAGACCTACTGATTCAAAGTCATTTTGTTAGCAAGGTCCCCACATGGTTGGGAGAAATAAAGCCCCCACGTGAAATCCAGAGGATTGGTTGCAGTCTTGTCATGCTCCTCTTCCCCGCAGTAATCAGACTCTTGTCCTCCACAGGAAGCCATTAAATGAAACCTTGATGATCACTTTTGAAATCACATTTCAGTCAAAAAATATTACTATCCTTGAGCTCCCTGATGAAGTAAGTAATGAATCCTAACTGATGGGCAGGGAAATACTAGCAACAAAATGCATTTTAGTTAAAACCATGTATGTTTCTCAATAAAATAAAAGAAAGAAAGAAAATAATTTAAAAAAAAAAAACCAAAACACCTTGTGGCTTCCTCAGTTCCATTATTCTAGAAGCCTATGATTTAGATTTTGTCAGTCTCTTTGGCGATAAGCATTTTATGTCCTGTAATTTAAGGTGATATAGCTCAGCAGATTAAAGTGCCTGCAAGCAGGCGCAGGGGCCAGGGCTTTGATCCCTGGGCCTGCCATGCCGGCCCCACCCCCACAGTGCACTGAGAGGGTGACTGAGACTGGGCGTGGTGGCACATGCCTGTAATCCCAGCTCTTGGGAGGCTGTGAACAGGTGGATTACTACAAATCCAATCTGATAGTGAGACCCAGAACACCCTGTAGACCCTTCCCTAAAATACAAAAAGTTAAATAAATAAATACATAAATGTGATAGGAAGCCTGAGGCAGAAGTAATCATGAGAGACTGGGCGTGGTGGCACAGTCCTGTAATACCAGCACTTTGGAGGCTAAAAACAAGAGGATCACAACAAGTCCAATCTGTGTAGTGAGACCCTGTAGACTCTACGAAATACACTAAAAAAAAAAAAAAAAAAGTAATTATGAGCATGTAGTTCTTATTTTGTTTGATTTTTTTTAGACAGGACCTCACTATGTAGTTTAGCCTGGCCCTGAACTTAATTCCTTAACCAGGCTGTTCAAACTTGCAACAATCCTCCTCCTTCAGCCTCCTAAGTAGAAAAATATAATGATTTTCTAAAGTCTTGCTATTCAACAGCATTCATGGATTGATTAGCCACACTGGTTTTAGGATTAGGGTAGAACACTTACCTAGCCCTGGTCCATGAGTTGGAGTCACAGCACCACAAAAGAAAAAAAAAAAAGAAGGTTAGAAGCACAGATTTAGAGCTCTCATCCCAGACCTACTGATTCAAAGTCATTCTGCTAGCAGGGTCCCCAGATGATTGGGAGCTATGTTAGATTTTTAGGAAGCGCTGTTCTGAGACACCATTGGGTGGGTGTCATTTACAAAAACTAGTCAGACTACCTGAGTACTGTCTGTCCAACAGTGTAATTGTTCATAGCTCTGTGCACTTATCTTTGCGTATACCCTGCCCCCACCTTCCCTCGGATGTGAGCCCATGGTCAGTCAGCTAAAAAAGACATCAACAGGGAGGCAGCATTCAGGGCAAATGCTGGCTTTCAAAAACTGAGTACATGCTTGTAATCTCAGGCTGAAGCAGAAAAATCAGAAAGCTGTGGCCATCAGAGAAGTTTTGCAAGACCTTATCTCAAAAATTTTTACTTTTTTTTTTTTTTTTTTTTTTGTATTTTAAGGAAAAGTCTACAGGGTATTCAGGGTCTCACTACTAGATCAGACACGTAGTGATTCTCCTGTTTATAGCCTCCTAAGAAATGGGATTACAGGCGTGCGCCACCACGCCCAGTCTCAATTGCTAGCTCAGTGAGCCGCAGGGGTAGGATCGAACCCCAGGCCCCTGCACCTACTTGCAGGCGCTTTAATCCACTGAGCTATTTGGCTGGCCCTCTTCAAATTTTTTTAAAAAAAATAAAAAAGACTGGAGATATAACTCAGTGGTGAGCACTCTTGGATTCCATCCCCAGTACAAAAACAAAACAAAAACTCAGGATGAATAGCTTCTAAGGTCTACATAGAAACCAGTAGTCCAATCAGTGAGGCTGCCTAATGATATTGTGGCCTTCTTAGTTTGTGTGTACAGACATCTGTGATGTTCACACAGTTATGAAATCGCCTAATGGCACATGCCTCAGAGTATATCCTATTCTTAAGGGTCATGTGACTATACTTGAAGATGAAAGCAATTAGATCTTTTTTTTAATTATTTATTTATTTATTTTTACATTTATTTAGTGTGTGTGTGTGTGTGTGTGTGTGTGTGTGTGTGTAGCCAGCTCAGCCCACCAGGGGGCGGGGCTGGCTGGCATGTGGTGCTGGGAGATTGAACCGCGGTCCACTGTGCTTTGCTAAGCTTGTTCTAAGTAGGTGCTTTAGACCACTGAGCCATCTCTCCAGCCCCCAAGGCCATGTTTTGCTTTTTTTTTTCAGAACCAGGGATTGAACTCAGGCCCTTGCCCTTGCCAGGCAAGTGCTTATTCTACTGAGCTATCTCCCTGGCCCCCGATTAGATCTTTAATGTTCCCACCACAGAAAAAATGACAGATCTGTGAGCAGCTGGATGTGTTAAGTGTATGTTAGTTAGCTTGATTTAATCATATTGCAATGTATACATATATCAAAATATCACATTGTGTACTGTAAGTATATGCAATGTATTTTCAATATATCTGGGGAAGGCTAGCAGGAGAGCCAAGTAGGGATGAACCTAGGGCCCTGAGGCACATCCGGGCCCTCAGGGGTTGTGGCGGTGGACTGCAAATTAGTTCTGAGCACGACAGAAAGCAAACAGCAGTGAAACATGATCAGGCTCAAGAGTGTGGGAATCTGCAGGGCTGGGGTGTAGCCTAGTGGTAGAACACTTGTCTAGCCTACATGCAAGCCCCAGAAAATAGAGGGGAAGGAAAGAGGGAAGGAATAGGTGAAGGGAGGAAGGGGTTTGGGAATCTGTGATCTGACAAACTGCATTGGTGAGAGTTTCAGTCTCACCAGAGGGACCATGTACGAGAGGTGACATGTGCTCACCTCCACCCCCGTGAGCACCATATAATGTTGGTGCAGTGTCTCCCAGCTTCCCCAGGCCAGGGGTTCCAGGCCAGTGTGCAGTGCAGGGAGAGCAGTGGGCCTAACAGCAGGCCTGGCATGTGGCCCCCTGCAGCCTGCTTTAGCCACAGATCCAAACTCTGGGAGGAGCAGTTGCTAATCACTTAGCTTAGGACCAAACATCAAAGAGTATCCTCTTCTAAAAGCAAGTGAAACTCAAATATGTACAAAGCAAAGAAGCCTGCCACCAAAGCGCCGGGACTACAAAGTGAATCTGTGGTGTCAGGAGACTAGAGGGGTGGACCAGGGCTTCTGGGGTGTTGGAAATGTGTGTTTCTTGATCTGGGAATTAGATGCATTCAGTCTGTGGTTATTTCACCAAGCTGTGATGTATCTACTTTTTCAACTTTTTTTAGATAACCCACTTCTATAATTATAACTAACAAGCATACTTTGTATGCCAACAGATATATTAGTAAGTATAATTGAGCAAAAACATGAAAATTGTACATAATCTATACATGTGATGTTAATGGGTAATTAATATATACAGAGAACCATAATGATACTTAATACTTTTTGTTGCTACAATGGCTAAACAAAAAGATTTGGAGTAGCAATTACATTAAAAGCCTATTAGTATACTTAGTTCTTTTATGTGATAGTAATACTTCATACCCAGAAAAATGCATAAATCTTAAGAGTACAGATTTATGAGATTTGAGATCTATAAGTACTTTCTGTCACCTAGATTATGATAGAAAATGCATCCTTTATTTAGCATGTTTCTTCGCCTGTTTTCAGACCCTTGTCACCCAGTCAACTGTTAATTTGACCTTCTTTTTTTTCTTTTTTCATTTATGCATTTGGTACAGGGTCTCATTACACAGCTCAGACTCATAGTGATCCTCTTGTTTTCAGCCTTGCCAGCACTGGGATTACAGGTGTGTGCCACCACGCCCAGACTCAATCGCAGGCTCAGCACGCTCCGGGAGTGGGGCCAGCGCAGCATGTGGGACCAGGAATCAAACCCTGGTTCATGTACTTGCCAAAGCAGGCACTTACTCCAATGAGCTATCCCGCCAGTGCTTTGATTTTTTTTTTTTTTTTTTTTTTTTTTTTTTGGTGGGGGTGGTGTGCCATAGTTCTTTGATTTTTGTATTCAGCACATATGCTTTAGTTTAATTTTTTAAGAAAATTTAAAAAAAAAAAGAAAAAAGAAAATTTAATGGTGGGAGTCAAATAAGTCATCTGTGTAAGAATACTTCACAGGTACCTGATCCTACCTTTCAAGCTGTTGCCTGTCTCCACCCCATCCAGCTCTGACCTCCTGTTCCCTAACCAGAAGCCACTGGTTAGAATCTGGGTGTCAAGGGGTTGTCTAGAAGCCTGGCCAGTGAATCTAGGTAAAATACTTCAGCCTGGGGCTGGGGAGATGGCTCAGTGGAATAAGCGCTTCCCTGGCAAGCGCAAGGGCCTGAGTTCAATTCCCAGTTCAAAAAAAAAAAAAAAAAAAAAACAGACTGCAGTTTCCTCATTTGTAAACATGGCATTCATAACTTCTACCTAACCACTCTGTGGAGACTAAAAACAATAATATCAAGTATGAAATAAATGTCTGGGATTATACCTGGCAGGTAGAAAGCATTTGATAAGAGCCAGGGAAAATATTATCATTTCATTCTGCCTTGTTTTGGTAGATTTGGCTGTTTTCTCCCTGCCTAGCTCCAAATGGATTTACTAGGTACTGACAGATATGTAAATAACTTACAAGGAAACTGTTAAAAAGAAGAAAAAGTAAGGTGCTAGGAAAATAAAAGATCCCAAAGTGGGACCTGTCATCAAGCTGTGGCTTACAGGAGACAGATCAGAAAACAGGCTTTGTAGTAACCATTTTCCCCATCTGCCAGTGCCCCTGATTTCTGGTCCTAACACCAAAAAGACAGTGCCACAGGGTCCTCCTGCAGAAGGCAGTGGTGCTTAATAAGCCCCATCCTGGAGGGCCCTGCTGCATGGGCTAAGGGTGATCCCAGAGTGTTACACAGCGAGCACACAAACTGAACACTATGGGAGACAGTTTAGACATATTCCCACTCCCTGCTGTTCTGAGAGAATTTGAAAGTATCAGGAGGAATGATTGGGAGTTCATATGTGGCTGGGAGGCTTCCAGGTCCTTTCTTTTTTTTTTTTTTTTTTTCTTTTTTTGTATTTTAGGGAAGGGTCTATAGGGTGTTCAGTGTCTCACTACTAGATTGGACTCTTGATCTGCCAGTTTAGAGCCTCCCAAGAGCTGGGATTACAGGTGCACACCACCACACTCAGGCACAATTGCCCTCTCAGTGTGCCCTGGGGGTGGGCCAGCATGGCAGGCCCTGGGCTCGAACCCCAGGCCCCTGTGCCTGCTTGTAGGCACTTTAATCCGCTGAGCTATTTGTCTGGCCTCTCAGGTCCATTTTCCAAAAAATTTTTTTTTTTTTTTCCCAGTACTGGGATGGAACCCAGGATCTCTCATGTGCTAGGCAAGCAGCTGTCTTGCCACTGAGCTACAGCTCCAGCCAGGGCAAGGATTTTGATAAATATTGGGAGGAATATCGATAAAACCATTCTCTCAGGCAAATGTCTGGTATTTACACCTCCTCTGTTCTGTCCCTTGGCAGCCAGGCAGGACCTGAGGTAGACATCTTTCATAGATGTCAGGGAACCCAGTGATGAAGGAAATAGAAATACCGTGGTTGTCATTGTACAGTTGTGGTAGGAAATGTCCACAGCTTGCCATGTGCCAGGCTCTGTGCTACATAATTTACAAAGATCATGTTGCTCATAGCAACCCTGTAAGGAAATGCTTGTGTTATTTCTGCTTACAGATGAACACACTGAGGTCTGACTTGGAGTAACTTTCCTGAGATCACAAAGCTAGTGAGCAGAAGAATGCTATCTCACCTTCCCCTAGAGATTAGCCAGAGGGAGGACCCAAGGACTAGGCTACAGTGCTGCTCAGAAAGTCTCACGCAGGGCTGTACAGGGATTCCAGTTGGCTGGCCAACCCAGCATTTCTGCCTCCAGTTAGTGAGCTCTTAGAAAATAGAACCTTGTGTGCTGCGCCTCATTGCCTGGTTCACAAGTGGAGCCAGACCTTCAGTGGGGCCTTCAATAACTGTATGTGGCCTTCTAGTGAATTCAGTCTTCCTAACAGGTTGTAGTGCCTCCTGGAGTAACGGAGTCCTCTTTTCAAGTGACATCTCGAAATGTTGGCCAAGTGACCGTTTATCTGCGCAGAAATCATTCCAACCAGACAAGGTAACTGGGCCTCTGCACCCTCCCATGTGGACATTGAATGATGGGAAAGGAGGTTGCGATGGCACAGAAGTCCAGCCTGAGTTCACCCCATCCCCAAATCCTTTTCTAGCTCAAGGATCCTCTTCTTTGTCATCCGAAGTAACATCACGAGCATCATAAACCAAGTGATTGGCTGGATCTATTTTTTGGCCTGGTCCATCTCCTTCTATCCTCAGGTGATCAAGAACTGGAGACGAAAAAGGTAGGAATGGGTGGCTCAGAAGGGCAGTCGGTAGCATTGCCTCAGACCCACTCTGCTGTTTCCTTTGCTGCCCTTTCAGGAAAGCTGTCCTGATGAGAACACTGCCTCCAAAAGCTTAGGTAGGACTTCCAGGGCTGGGCACTTAGTCCGTTGCTCAGTCCAGCTTCTCCTAGGAAAGCAGCAGTATGAGACTTCTCAGCTAAGACTGGCTGGGTAGAAGAAAGGCCACCAGCCCTGGAAAACGTGTCTCATCATACACCTGCAGCCATGGAGACTAAGCATGCCCGCTGTGATCGTAGACCAAGTGAGAGTAGGCCTGGGGTTATATCTTTGTGAAGCAAGGACACAAGCTCTCTTGCTGTCACCCTGGCCATGTGGGCTTAGCAGAGAGCCAAGGAGGGAAATGCTGCCTCTCTGCAGGAGGCCTCTGCACCTCCCGGGCCAGGATGGAAGGACAAGGGTAAATCTCAGGAGCAAGGGAGGAAAGGTGAGAACCTGCTCTCAGGAAGACAGGGATTGGGTGGTATCACTTGTGGCATGGAGAGGAACCTAAAGACAGTGCTGTCCTTGTGACCAGCACAGCTCTCCTTCTCTGTGTGCCAGAGTATTCTGTCCTTTCCTGCTCCAGTCATCCCAGGCCTCACTCCTACCCTACTTCATCCCCTCTGCCCTCTGCAGTGTTGTTGGTCTGAGCTTCGATTTCTTGGCCCTGAACCTGATGGGCTTTGTGGCCTACAGTGTGTTCAACATCAGCCTCCTGTGGGTGCCCTACATCCAGGTATGGCACTGCCCTCCCCCGCACACACAGCCACCTAAGCCACTTGACAGCCAGGCTGCTCCTCACCTCCCAGCTTCTCCCCACCCACAACAGGAGCAGTTTCTCCTCAAATATCCCAACGGCGTGAACCCTGTGGAGAATAATGATGTCTTCTTCAGCCTGCATGCAGTCGCCCTTACCCTGATTGTCATCATACAGTGCTGCCTATATGAGGTGAGTGATGAGGCCTGAGCCAGTATCCACCCCCACCATGCCCTCATGCCACCCACCACTGCTACCTGCTGTCCCACCTAAGATCCTGACTCCTCAGAATGGGCATTTTCAGTCATTCAGCAACTGCTTCCTAGGCCTAGGCCATGGGCTGGGCCCTAAGCAGGGCAGGCACAAGGAATATACCCCCTTAACCCAAGCCCTCAAACTGCCCTCCAAGTCTGAAGTTAGGGACACGAGAAGCAGGCTGAAAACTGTGTGGAAGGGGACCCACAGACAGCCATGGAAGAGTGGAGCCAGAACCAAGCCAAGGAAGGAAATTGCCAGGAAAATGGTGCCTGTTGTCCAAGGGAGATAACGTTCCTGTAGTAAACAGGAAGGGTTGGGACAGAACTGTGGAGGCCAAGGGGCATTTGGGAGGACCTTTGTGCAGGTGGTGATGGCCAGGGCTCAGGGTGCCAGATGAGGAGCTACCTGCTGAGAGGTCAAGAGAAACCTGGCCTCAGTCTTATTGCTAGAGTCTCCACAGGGAGACCCCTAAGGCAACAGTTTTGCTTTCCTTTCCCTGTAGTTGTGCCACCTCCTTCAGGAGTTTTCTTCACTTTATGCAAGGCTGGGGGTATTGTGTGGCTTCCATCCTATAAACTTTCCAGGTCCTTATCCGTTTTCCGATACTCTGGTAAAGGAGGCCCACTTTGGAACCATTTCTGAAGAAAAGTTGGTGTGCAGATCAAATTCCAGATACTAACTCCATCCTTTCACTCGGCCTCCAGTGTTGGATCTCATAGCCCTGGCGCCCTGTGCTTCTCCAGAAAAAGCTATAGGAAGTAGACAGGAAGCAGGGACAGAAAGTAGACATGAGCCAGAGAAGCCAAGATGGGCAGCACAGGAAACCCTGAGAGTAAAAAGATGGGGTGGTGCTAAGGACAGGAGAGGCGTGACACCTTATCCATTCCGCCCATGGTCCAGGTGGAGCCCATGAATCTCTGGAATCTGTCCCCAACCCTGCCTTTCCTTGGACACTGCTAAGTGCAGGTGTCCTAAGTCCCCTTCGGCTCATCCCATACCCCTTCTTCTAAGCCCACTTAGTCCATCTATGGCCATTCCCTCCTGAGACCCTGCAGCAGCCTCTGGGCTGTGTGCAACCCTCCCCCTCCCCATCTCATCCTCAGCGAGGCAGCCAGCGCGTGTCACGGCCAGCCGTCGGCTTCCTGGTGCTCGCATCGCTCTTTGCCATCATCAACATGATTGTAGCTGCAGTCGGGGTAACCACATGGCTGCAGTTTCTCTTCTGCTTCTCCTACATCAAGCTCGCTGTCACGCTGATCAAGTACTTCCCACAGGTACTTCAGGGCTTTCCTGCACTTTCATATAGCTGGTAACATGAGAGAAAGTGAGAGGTACTCATCCTGGGGGCTACCAGGGGCCAGCTTTGGCCAGGGCAAAATGAGGACGGAAAGCTGCAGTACAGCTGGTGAGTGCTACTGTTTTACTTTTGACCACCCCTCGTTACCACAACAGCAGCAGGAAAATCTGAAAAGAGTAGATGGAAGGAACCTGAGCCCTGCACCCTGCAGCCACCTTATGGGAAGAGATGTTCTCCCTAGTTATCCATCAGCACCATCCTGTGAATCCTAATGGTTCTATCCATGTCTGGAGATGTTAACAGTTAAACACATCTTGGCCCAAGACAAGGGCTGGTATAAAGTAGCTGCCAATTGCTTAGTTCTCCCTGCAAATCTAGGGCTTCATTTAACTCATGTCTGATAGAGAACTCAGAAAGGGAGAGTGCTGGCCTGGAAAATGGCTAGAGCCTGAGGGAGACAGCCCCTAAGTTCAGTAGCCCCACAGGCCAGGCAGCTTGTGCAAGAGATTGGCTACTGAGCAGGACTGAGAATGCCGAAGCTGGGAACCTAGGGCTAGGTCCCAGGAGGGCTGGGATTCTGATGAGGGGACAGTCTCTGGGGAAGTGGCCTCCTGCACATAGGAAGCCTTAGGGCTGGGAACCAAGGGTGCAGCCACACTGGTGGGAGATACTAGAATTGGCTGGGTCTGGAGAGGTAGCAGCAAATATGCAAGAGGGTGGGAGAGAACAAGGACACAGCCCTGAATCCCACCAAAAAGACCAAGCCCTCCCTCCCAAGTGATAGGAAGAAAGCTGTAGGACCAAAGTATTGGAAGAGGAAAGTGAACCTCATCAGACCTAGGGAGCTCCAGCAGAGGTCATGGGGCCCTGTCATGGCCGGGATTCACACCAGCAAGTCTGGCTCCCAGGTTTGGGAGTGTACGCACAGTGCAGTGTAAGCTGAGTCCAGGGACAGCTTCGCTGGAGGTAAAAGGAAGAATCACTGGGAACCCATAGGGCATTGCCCACTGGGGAGGATGGAGAAGTTGGACAGGGCAGCATGCCTCACACCCACTGGGGTTGAGAGGTACCAGGATGGGAGGAGGAGGAAGAGGCAACTACGTTTGCCCTGCATTAAACCAAGGTCCTGGAACACCCAAATATTCTACTGGCTGAGGCGTTGTTGGATCCCAAAGGTCACCATGTCCTTTGGAACTGAGGCCCAAGCACATGAGTGGGAGGAATCAGAGCTACCCTTGTTCAGAGTAGTAGTCACAAGGCATAAGAGGCAGCCACCCACCCCCTCACTGCCCTCCGTCTGTCTGTCTGATCCAGGCCTACATGAACTTTTACTACAAAAGCACTGAGGGCTGGAGCATTGGTGGCGTGTTCCTGGACTTCACAGGGGGTATCTTCAGCCTCCTCCAGATGTTCCTTCAGTCCTTCAATAATGGTGAGTCAGCCAGACAGCTTCCCCGACCCAGTAAGTGGGGGCCAGGTTTGGGCAGGCCTAGGTCTCCCTCCAGCCTAGCCCAAGTCTGCCAGCGTAGGAATCCAAGCTAATCCCAAGCCCAAAAAAGAGACTCACCTAGAGGCTTCTGCAGCTAGAGGATGGACAGTTCCCTGGGCAAATGAGAACCCCCACCGCAGGCCCCACAATCCCACATGCTCCAGTTGCCTCAGGAGCTTCTCCCTAAAACTGAATTCTAATTCTGAATCCTCTCTGGCTGTTCACAGACCAGTGGACGTTGATCTTTGGAGATCCAACCAAGTTTGGCCTTGGCATCTTCAGCATCTTCTTCGATGTTGTCTTCTTCGTCCAGCACTTCTGTTTGTATGGAAAGAAACTGGGGTACGAGCAGCTGAACTAGCACCCAGAGGCCCAGTGTAAACAGCTGGGGCTGTGGCTCTGGTGGGGAAGGCTGTACCCCCCAAAGACCAGAGAAGTGGCTGGGATGCGGGCTCGTTCAGAGAAGCACTGTCTCGCTCAGGGCCAAATGCCTTAAATGCAGCCAACCTGCCTTTGCCCAGGGCCAGCCTTGGCCATGGAGGATCCTCGTTCTGGGAGACACCTGGCCACGCTCTGGGACTCACAGCCAGACCTCAGGCAGTCCCTCCCGACCTCCCCGGAGGTCCCAGCCCCTGCCAGGCCTTGTGGGCACGGCACCTGGCCCTCCTGCATCTTGATGCAGCATCTTTCTTTCCTTCAAGGCTTCAAGCAGCACACACAAGTCCTGACAGTCATCCCAGACAGATGCTGAGCCTGCAGCCGGAGGCCTTGCCTCAGCCAGCCAGTGTTTCTGGAAGCAACTTGCACGGCTGACCTTGCAGCCGAGCCGCAAGAGAACAGTGGTGCCTTGCTGCCACCGCTGTGTTCACTGAGAACAAGCAGTCAGGTGCGGTGCCAATGGCCGAGGGTCAAGGACTTTGGGTTAGTAGGCCTTGCAGTCTGTTCTGTGACAGTCACATCTGCTTATCTGACATAACTCTACTTCCATGACTGTGGTAATGGGTGCCCCGGGCCAGAGCCTGGTAAAGAGTATTCCTGAGCAGATGGCTCTGGCCAGTGTCATGCCCTGTGGATCTTTACCACAGTCAGATGATCACACTAACTCCTTTCAGGTTTTGGAGGGATGTTTTGGAAGTGACTTCTTTTTTGCCTACTCTCCTATCTCCACGTTCAGAGAGTCAGATGGGGCCCCATCCAAGCACCCACACTGCTCCTAACCCAGCACCTATAGAGCAGGACACCCTCTCTACCAGTCTGTGCCTTAGAGGTCCGTTAGTCCTGCCAAATGGTGACAGTAGCTCCCTAAGAGGGAGGGCAGGCCCCTTTCTTTTTTACCAGACCCCCAGATGAGACTCCAATTTTTTGGTTATTGAGGAGTCCCAGAGAACTTGAGACCCCACACAGTGCTTATGACCCAACCCTAGGCTCAGAGCTCCTTCTCTCCCACCCCAAGCTGCTGTCCTACAGCAGATGGATCCTGGATGTGCCTTGTACAGGACTTGAGCTTCAGTCTACTCTGTTACTCAAGACCAATGTAAGGGACTTGTATACTTTTGTAAAACTTGATTTTTCTTTCTGTACTCTGAGCATTTGCTGGATGCAGAAAGCAGGTATGCTGGCCTTCAAAACAAAGTCCTTGAGGCATAGGAGCCAGATTTGCTCACCTCTTGTAAAGGCAGACTTGGGGCTGTGGAATTCATTGACCTCAGGTGGCTTTATGCTGACCCTGCACTTCATGGGGGGAAGCCTACTGGGTAGTATAAAACACCTGCCCACTCAGGGCCACGTAGGGCTGTCAGGTATGTCTGCCAGTGCCAAGGCACAGCAGCTGCTCAAACTTCAGATACAAACAGGTTGCAGTGTTTAAGGACAAGATAGCAATGGAAGCAGGAGGAGTAACAGTCTTACTTTCCTGATTTTTTCCTGTGTCCCACGATAACAACCAACAAGGAATTTAAGGTGGTCTTTTTCTAGAGCAGATATTGCAGCTATAACAAGCCTACAGACCTATTTTGATTTCAGCTATCAACTCCTTTTTATAAAGTAAGTTATTGGGCACTATACTTTAAAAAATGGAAGACTTCACATTCTGGACTCTTCTTTACAAACTGATTTGGCAATGCTAGGCAGGTCCACAAGTGGCATCTTTCCAGCCCAGGCAGATGCTTTGTGGCTCCCCAACTGGCTAGCTCTTGGCCCTTGGAAACATCTGGAACTGTGTCCTTGACCTCTTAGCAGAATGTGCTTTTCCAAAACATGAACCCATGAGTGCCCAGCAGGCCTCTCAGGTAGCAACTGGAGCCGAGTTATATAAGGGAAGTTGGGTACACATAGGTGCTTTACCAAGACACCGCACTCCAGGGACTCCACCCCAACGCAGGGAAGGTTGCCCTTGGTGTGTAGATTGAGCCCTTGCTGAGGACACTGTTCCCAAAGCTGCTTTTTTGTATGCAGCGATGAGGTGGAATCCAGGGCTTCACGCTCACTAAACAAGCGCTCCATCTCTGAGCAACACCCTGGCCCCCACAGCCGCGTTCTTTAGGAGACCAAAGCATTTGTTTCAGTACACCTCCAAATCCCCTACCCCATACCTCAAAAGACTTCTGTGAATTCCAGCGTTGTTTATTAGGCACAAGATGTCAGGTGTTGGGCAGTGTGTCACTGCCCATTTCCACAGTAAAGTAAGGCTTATTCATGTGCTAAGAGTAGCTGCTCCCAGATGAGAATTAGTAAGCTAACTTCAAAAGTAGAATTGGCCTCTCCAAACAGTAAGATAAAAATGATTTGTATCAAAGTTGTGATTAAAAAAATACAAAAGTTAAACCCACAGGTATAGAGAAAAGTGGCGATCCTGAGAGCTGCCCAGAAATGCCAGCCTTGAGCCTCATTTAAATCCTGTAAGCAGGCAAACCCTGGGGAGGCCAGCACCCTCATGGGGATGAATGGGAGCCTGCCCGTTTCCATCCAGGTAAACCTTCATAGTGCCTCTGGCAGTGTGTGGGGCCAGCCCACACTGGGCCACATAGTGGGTGAAGTTTCGGGTACAGGCACCTCAGAGGTGACATGAGGGCAGGGCCAAGCCCTGTGGCCAGAGGCAAATCAGGAAGAATTGGTCCTACTGGCATTCCCCATCTTTGGCACTCTGAGAAAGTAGTGTTTCCTGTTAACATGGACACTGCAGCAGCCAGGCAATAGGGTCTGGGAGAGGAGCCTGTGGTCACTACAGACCAGCTATCACTCAGCTCCAGGCCCTTGTTTCCAATCTTCAGTGTCCCAGGGACACAGGGAGGTCCCAGAACCTTGGCCTGGGAGTGGGACTGAAAGAAGGCTGGCTCAGGCCTCTGGGATCAGCTGTTGCCCTTCTGATGCGGGATCCAGCATGCAGCAGAAACCAGGAGAAGCAGCAGGCAGCGTGGAAGTGGGGTCACTGTACAAGGAGATAGCAGGCACAAGTTGGGGACGATGGCTGGCTGCTAAGACAGCATGGACTGCTGCACTGCCTTCTGCAGCGACTGTCGTGTCACCAGCAGACGAACCACCTCTTCTGAGCGCTTGGTGAGCCGCTTCCGGGCTTGGTCATGTGTTACCATGGTCATGTCCCAGCCATTTACCTAGCCCAGGGAGAGAACATAGCCACCCTCAGCTTCTCCCTCTAGGATCTGGAAGCAGAGGGCTCTCAGGGAGGGGGACTTGGGACACTCAAACAGATCCCCCAGGCTGATATCTCAACCCTGGAGATGCCCTGTACCACACAGCCAAGGCACACAGGACAGAGCCAGCTTCCTCCAACACCAACATGGTTTCTAAAACAGCTTTGGTGAGTCCCTCCCCACCAGGAGGCCTGCCCCTTAACCCCAAGTGCTTCAGCCCCTCTTGCCCTATCTTTGCTTTCTTCCTTTGGGGCCCTTGTTACCTGCATGATCTTGTCTCCAATCTGCAGCCCAGCAATTTCAGCAGGGCCTCCTTCAGACACCCGGGTAACATAAATGCCCTGGAAAGAGGAAGCCTAGGTTAAGCCCTATGACCATCAGACTCGTTCCTCATCCACAGAGCAGAACTCAGCATAGTATACTCCCCGCTGTCCCTCTGTCTCTGTGCCCAGCACCCCAACCCCTCACATATGCTGCTGATACCCGCTGAGCCAAGACCACCAGAGTTACTGCTCCAGGGATGCTCCAGCTCATGCTAATGGCTGCCTCCTCCTAGGCTATCTGAACAGGCCTTCCTAGGACTCACAGAGGCCCACTCTTCACCTCCATCCCTACTTATTCCCACTGATCATTTATTAGACCTTTTTAGGATTGTCTTAGAAGGATGGGGTCTGCACCTTCCACAAGGCCCAGGAAGAAGGGACTCACCATCTCAGCTCTCTGTGTCCCATGGAGAGATACAGGACCCTAATCCCCTCACCTTATCTGTCTTGTCTTCAGAGAAGGGGTTCTGAGAGGGATCCTGGTCAATTCCACCTCCAATGCTGAACCCCAGAATTAAGTTCTCTCCTTGACGCAGCTTGTGAATTTCAACTCTTTGCTGGCAAAAAAAAAAAAAAAAAAAAAAAAAAAGCGGGGGGGGGGAGGTGGGAGAGTGAAGAAGAAATCTGGTCAGCCTCAGCTGCTGGATCAGCTCACAGCTATGCCATGGGGTGGGACCCAGGGCCCTCTGCAGGAATCCAGCTGGTCATCAGCCTGAGAGGTTGGGAAGTTGAGACTCAAAACTTGGCCACATGGACCTACCCACATATCTCTCTGCCTTCAATCTTTCCCCTGTTCTTTAACCTTGGTCAACATGTGGTCTGAGTCCTTCCTAGCCCAAGAGCTAGTGTCCTGTGACTTCTGTGGATGGGAGGTCCATCTTTCTCAGGAAGGATCACAGTGCAGGAGGAGCCAGGCTCTGAAAAGACATAGGCCCTTGCTGAGCCAGGTAACTGCTGAGCAGCCCCGTCAGAGGCAAGACAGGAGGCACTTGGGAAAAGGTCAAACCTGCCCAGAAGGGAGAAGGGCTGCTGGCCACAGGAAGGAGCGCAAAAGCTATGAATCCGCATTCATGAGACCAGTGAACAACAATGCAAGATGCACAAATGGAGGTGAGATCAGGGGAAAGTGTGAAGCTGAGACTGAGGCTGAACCAGGTCAGGAAGACCATGGGATGCAGGCCCCTGAGATGTGACCCACATGGAGGAGGGGGAGCTCCTGAAGCCATGCACCTAGCCGCCTGGCCTGGCTGAACACAGCCATCAGATGGGAATGCAAGGAGGGCACCATGTAGAGTTGGAGTGCCAGGAGTTATCTGCACAGGTGTCCAGAAGGGAGATCTGTGGAGCCAGAATTCAAAGGAAGAGCCAAAATGGTCTAACAGAGAAAATGTTAACTACATGGGAAAAAGTGGCATTGGAGAGGCAATCTCCCCCACCCCGCATAATTAAGCATGCTCCTGGTAAAGGACTTGGGGGGGGGCAGTTATTTGAGAGAGGATCAGGAAACACAATTCCCAGGGCTCAGCCCAAAGGTGTGAGCTCAGGCCTGCTGCAACATACACTAGCATGCCCACCCCCAAGGTCAGAAAAGACAGCCCATCACTGAGTTGCTGAGGTAAGTCAAACAGTACAGCGGCAGTTTCTGGATTCTCACTTGCTCTTCCTCTTTTCCAGCTAAGGAGTAAACTTAAACTCTTCTCACTAGGTAACGCGGGATCTGGAAAAGCCAGGCTGGTATAGGCAGGGTGAAACTTAGGACAGCTGTCAGCTGGTCTGGCAATGTTTCCTCCTAGCTCAAGCCTGAACTGGTGGGGCTCTAACCTCATCTCACATGCCACCTTTATCAGTGGTTTCTTTGCTCCCGCCCTGCTGACTGTAGAAACTCTTTAGCACACCCATCTGAGATGCCACCTTCAATCCCTGGGGCTCCAGGGCTAGGAATTTCACTTAACCCACTGCCTGCCAGGCAGGCATATCTTCTCATTTTCCAGGACCTCTGAGGAGCTGGGCCAGGCATCTGGGTCCATAACGAGGGCTTCCTTTATGAATCTGGCATGCCCAGACTCAGTTTGCCACAAGGCTGGCCTCCAAGCCCCATCAGGTTGTGGCACTGGCATCTATCGCAGTTGCCTATTGTTAGCACTCCATAACCAAGGCCAACCAAGAAGGTGGCTATAGAGCTGGGTTCATCCCTAAAGGGCTATGTAGGCCTCAGGTGCGAGGCTTGCGACTTGAACTTTGCCCAAAGGGCTGGGTAGGTATTCAGGAGAAGTTCGGAAACGAATCAGGCCAGTTGTATGAGTATTCGCTGTGAACCCGACAACGCTTGCGTCCCTGCAGCGATTGGGTCTCTGGGAAGAGGCTAGACGATAGGGGGAAAGGTGCTCCTATCGCAGGCTGCAGCCAGCTCCACCCCCCAAATCTCCCTCCATTGGGCTGCAGCGGCGGCTGGAGCAGAGGAAGCGCTTCCTCATTCCAGAGGCTGCGACTCACCAACGTTGGGGCCGGCGCCCGCCCCCCGCGGCTACTCAGCTGGGGACTTAGAGGCCCGGGACGGGGGTGCTTTCCCAGACTTCCGCAGCCGAGGCCTTTCTCCTTCGCCCTCCCCTCCCCGGCTGCCTGAGAGGAGTCCACCTGGCGGCGACAGTACGCTGGGTCTGGCCTCTGCCCAGGTCTCGATAGACTGTTAGATCCCAGGCCTCTGAATCGTAGCTAGACGAGGCTGCAGCACAACTCCGGCAAAGACCAGAACTCTGGCCGCCAGTTTGCATGCAGGACCCTTGAGTTGGATGTTTTATCAATCTGTCTATGTGTCAGTTTGCCACTTTGCAAGCCAAGACGAGAGGGAGCACGCGCAAGCACACTCACCACCACAGCGGTGACCGGCTGGCCTGGGATGTAGGACATCTCGATCCAAATACCGCAGACAGTAATATTCGGTGAAGCCCGCAGCGAAAATGACCGCGACCGCGCCCTCGCTGGTTAACAAAGGCAGCCCGGCTTGGTCCGCCCCCTCATGAATAACTAACAAATCTCTAGCCAATCAGCGATCGGAGCGCTGTTCGGCTTTCAGAAGTGCCGATGTGTGCGTAAAGAAGCGGGAGGAGGTGGAGCAAACCGGTGGCGCAGGCGCCGGGGGCGGGGCGGTGGGTCTGCGCATGCGCATTCCAATACCTCCCAGCAGCCTTCACAAAAAGATGGCGCCGCGGGAATCTCTACCGCTACCGGTGTGAGGGAACGCCGAGTGACTGTCTGTCCCCGTGTTTCAGGTAACTGCGAAACCCTAGCCAAGGAATGTAGACGTTGTGCCGACCCCCGGATGACCCAAGCTCTCAGGTTTCTTGGCGTCCTTTGAAGATCCGAGCAGTGGTGCTGGGTTTGGGAAGGCCTCTAGGGGGGAGGGGGAGGGGTGAACCCAATTCCCCAACATCGGGTGCCACTTGTAACTCGGTTTTCTCCACAGTCCTGCGTCGTCCCCCAAGAAGGCAGAGGTTGAGGCCTGGTAGATGAGATGGCCGCGGTGGTGGCCAAGCGGGAAGGGCCGCCGTTCATCAGCGAGGCAGCCGTGAGGGGCAACGCCGCGGTCCTGGATTATTGCCGCACCTCGGTGTCAGCGCTGTCGGGGGCCACGGCCGGCATCCTTGGCCTCACCGGCCTCTACGGCTTCATCTTTTACCTGCTTGCCTCCATCCTGCTGTCCCTGCTCCTAATTCTCAAGGCGGGAAGGAGGTGGAACAAATATTTTAAATCACGAAGACCTCTCTTTACGGGAGGCCTCATCGGAGGTCTCTTCACCTACGTCTTGTTCTGGACATTCCTCTATGGCATGGTGCACGTCTACTGAAATGAGGGCAGGGGTGACTTTTTAAGGAAAAACAAAAAACAGATTGGGAAGACTGTCGTCAGAAGTTAACACCGTGTAGACTTAGTTTTTAAATTGCTGAATTTGCTGTTTGTTCTGTAATCTTATAACTTATATCTGAAGGCAGAGAGCTTGTAATATTCTTCAGATTAAATGAAGTGTGAGACACTTTGTGGAGTTCTTTCCCGCCTTAATGCATAGTCGGCCATAGTTGCAGGGTCGCTGGCATTGGACTCCTGGAGGGCAGGCACTGGGCCATAGCCTGTAACTTCCCTGCATTACACTTCAGCCCGCCAGAGAGGGGTCACCAGGGCTTACAGAAGGAGAGAACTTCCTGTTAGCATCGTAAGAACTGATGTAATAATGTTCCTTACATGCCAGGCATTGTGCCTTGTGCTTTTTATACCCACTGTCTCATTTAATTCTTGCAATAACTATGGAAATGTTACTATTAATCTCTGCTGATGAGGAAACGGGCTCAGAGAGGTAAAGTACTGCCAGAGGTGGCTCAGCTAGGAAGAAAAGCAGGATTCAGATGCAGGTCTCTTAATTCTTGCTGAGCCAGCCAGACATGGAGGCATATGGCCATCAGTCCTAGCACTTAAAAGGAGGACTTCGAGTTTTAGGCCAGCCTAGGCTTCCTGGTGGGACGCTGGCTCAAAAAATAATTTACTTCAGTACTGGCAGAGTACCTTTTCACAGCCCAGTTTTCCAGCTGACCACTACTAGGTATTAGTGGAATGGGTTTTGTTTCACCTGGTCATATCTAGTTGTCTCCCATAAGAAAAAATAAATTCAAGCTATTTTTCTAAAATATACTGTGTGAAAAATAGGTTATTGGATTTAAGTTTGGGGCTTGTTGGTATAAATCCCTCTCCCTGTGCTAATCCATGATCCTTTTCTTACCGGGAAGATTATCTTATAATGAAATATGTATGTTGAATTGAGAAATAAATATTGTATTAGTTATGAACATGTTGCTTATGAAATCTATAATCTGGGCAAATTAACCATTACTCAATTTTACAAGTATTTAAATTAAGGTAAATGCTGTGGAGAGTGCACAGAACAGTCCAGGTTGGGAATGGAGGTCAAAGGTTGCTTTAAAGAAATGACCTATCTGGGAACTGAAGGCTGATAACAGCCAAGTAAAGTGTAGGGAAGATACTACTTGATGAAAGCATGTGGAAGGGCCACCATGCAGGGAAGAATGTGGCCTGTTATCTGGAGAGGAAGAGGCCAGGATGTTGACATGGGCCAGAGAATACAGTCCCTAGTAGGGAGTTTTGCCTTCATCCTGTGAGCAACTGCAGGAAGCCTTTGGAAGTTTTTGCCAGGCGTAATGTGATCAGATTAGGATTTTGAAGAAAACAAACAGGTATAATGGCATATAACTCTAATCCCAGCATTCAGGATGCTGAAGCAAGAAGATTGCTGTGAGTTAGAGGCCAACCTCGGCTAAACAGGTCAAGGCCAGCCTGAACTGCATAGTGAGACCTTGTCCCAAAAAACGTTTTAAAAAATAAAATTTTAAATTGGCAAGGGATCTGAGAGCTTGAACCGAAGTCTCATTCATTGCATACTGTATGTGGCTTGTACCCACTAATGGAAATGGATCTGGGACCCAGCCCTAAATGCCATTTTTGGTTCTGGACAATTTTTGTACTTTAGGCCGTAAAGAACCCAAGGCCACAGCTCTGCCTCCTGTTATAGGCCTTTCTGTGTTGTCCACTTAAAAATCTTCACGATTTGCACACCAGTCCTCTCTTACTCTTCCCTGAGTAAAAAAGGGAGTTTGTTCCGGAAACAGAGACTTGCTGGTATAGGGAGGAGAGGAGGGAGGGTCAGTGGGGAGCTGATTTATTTAGGTTGACCTCATTTCCCTATTGGGGAGTAAGTTCATTGGAAATGTTGCACTGCACTGAGTATCTTCACATTTATAAGTGAGAAGAGTTTTAGAGAATTTATCAGTTGAGGACAGAAGATAATTCTAACTGCCTTCCAGAGTTAGATAATGTAACAGCAGAATGAAAAGGACCAATTTTATCAGTATCTTCATAATTCCTTGTTGATTTATTTATTTATTTATTTATT